TCTCTCTCTCTCTCCCTCTCTCTCTCTCTCTCTCTCTCTCTCTCACACACACACACACACACACACACACACACACACACACACACACACACACAGCGTTCTCTCTGTGCACCAGGGAATTCTCCAATCCCGTCTCCTACCCTGCCCGTTACAAGCTTTTTCAACAATGTTGTCTTCGCTCTCCTTCTGCTCACTGCCTTTTTTTTTTTCTTTCTTGCTCACTGCCTTTCATGTCCTTGGAATCTTTGAAATCCATTCTCTGGTGCCATTTTGCGAGGGTCAGGGCCCTCGGCAGAACAACAAAGGCCCCTTGCAGCCCCCGATCACAACGCACCCTCATTTTGACTGTATCGGGACGGAAACATACCTTGTATACGTCCATTTTCAGGGTGCGTTATGTTCGGGGAAGACGGCAGCGCAAAAGAGATCCGAAAAGAAATCCGAAATATTCAAAAACAGATCCCAAAAATCTCCTCATATTTCGACAAATTTACGAACGTCCCGTCCGATCATTCTAATTGGCTTGCATGCCGAGGATCATCCGTTGTCACGATGCCGGGCCGATGCCAAGTGTCATTCGCTGTGCATGATGCCACGTGTCATTTACCGCATAATGGATGCCACGTGGCATTCATTCATGGCGTTTGCAACTTGTCAGATTCAGTCGGAGAATGTGAAAGAGAGAACGTTAACGAAATCGCCGGGCTGCTGACTCGAGAACGTGAGAAACACGGTTTGGATACCAAAGACGGGGCTTGTGAGGTCACCCCCCGTAGCATTCAGCCAGGACTGCCAGCCCCTAGTGTCGGCCACGTCGACGACTCCCACCGGGGCTGCAGTACGATCGCCGAGCCTCACCTCCACCACTCCCGACACGCGAGGTCCGGCATCCGAAGCTACGCGAGCCCTGAATCGTCGGGCAGTGCGTGTGCCGAAGTTCACTCCGCGGTACTCCAGCCAGTCGCCATTTGCAATGAAGCCGACATTAAGGCCACCCTCCGAGCTAGGCTCGGTTTGCGTTCCGGATTGGGCGTCGAAGCTGGCCGCGGCAATCGTTCCGAAAGCATCCCTAAGGGAGGAACCTGAAGAATCGCACGTTCACGAATTCTTGCGGCTGTCCGCTGCGGAACTTGAGAAAGACGACACGCCTCCCAGAGACGGGGGAGGAGAGGTTGGCGGAAGACGTCCGCCATGACTGCCAACCTCCGGTGTTCTGCACAGGAATGGAGGCCACGGGGGGTGCGGCGCGACTGTCCAGCTGAACATCCACAAATCCAGACACGCCAGCTGGTGCGCCAGATGCCACGCGGACCGCGACCCCTTCTGCGGCGCGGCGGCCGAAGTCCACGTCGCGGTACTCTAGCCAATCGCCATCTGCGATGAAGCCGACATTCCGCCCTCCCTCGGACGACGGCTCAGTTGCAGTGCCCCTCTGGTCATGGAAGCTGTCGCACAAAATCTCTCCGAAAGCACCCCGATCCCGTCGGAATGGTGTCAAAGCACCCGGATCCCGTCCGAATGGTGTCAGCGTTATCTTGATCGCCTGGGGTTTCCTCTCGTTGATGTAGGAGGCAAAGTCGGCCACGTCGTCGAAGGCGAAGCCGTAGGCGTTCCCGTCCGTGGTGTTCTCGTGCATTACCCGTGCGTAGTGATTGGACGTATCGTTCACCGGGTATAAGCGCGAGGGATCGGTCGTTGGCTGCGACGACTGGTCGAGCAACGTGCCGCGATTGAAGGCGGCGCCCAGCACGGCAGCGACCGGTCCAGTGCGGCCGTCGTTAGGCGCGGCGAGCGCGCCGTCGCAGAAGAGCACGTCCCTCGTGCTCGGGCGGCGGAACGCGGCCACCCCTCCCGTGAACTGCAGCTCCCCCCCACGCACCCTGCCCGTCACTGTCCGGCTCCCGGTCGTGACCACCAGGTCCCGCTGGCTGTAGCGCTGCCATACCCGCTCCACGTAGGCGTCGTAGTACGACGCCGAGAAGCGCCCCATCTCGATGCCGTGGCTTGGGGCGACGACTCGTAGGTTGTCACCGACCACCAGACGTGAGAACTCTGGCAGGGCTTTGATGGAGGAGAAGATGCGATCCCGACCGCCTGGAACGAGAGATCCCGTCGTCTGCGTTTGTTTCTCCTCCCCGGTCAGCTCTATCGATAACGGGATGCTGAACATGTCCACCATGGTGGTGTTGCAAAACATGCCGTCGTTAAAAGTGAACTCGATGAAGTCGTGCAGGACGGCGAAATTGGGATCCCCACTGTTCCACCCAGCGGGATACTGGAAGGCGCGGCGGTCGCCAGCTTGCACAACGCGGAAGCACAGCGGGGCGTTGATAGCGAAGTACACGCGGCCGGAAAGCCCCGCCGTGAGGACGAAATCGGTATCGCCATCGCCGGCGAGACGGATACCGATGTCGGCGAAGCCATCGGGGCGAATGGCGGCCTCCGCGCACGGGACGAACTTCCCGTTCCGTAGCAGAGCTCCTTGACGGCCAGTGGAGACCTCAGTGGCCACAATATACACCTCGATCGCGCTGTTGGGATAGCGCCCGGTCTTATTGGCCACTGTCATTGGGATTCCCATGTCGCATGCCTGTGTCGCACACTCCAACAAACAGAAGAGAAGCAACACGATTGTCCAGCTGGCAAGACTTCAGGACGTTCCTTTCCGTGGACAGATTCTTCTACCTCTGTTTGGGAGAAGACGCACTGCTGCTGCTGCTGCTGCTGCTCTCTCTCTCTCTCTCTCTCTCTCTCTCTCTCTCGCTGTGTGTGTGAAGAAGAGGAAGAGGAGGAAGAAGAAGAACGAACGAGATGTTGTCGAGAGTAGAGGGTGCTAATCAGGGTCCGTGTGCTCCGAATGCGCTCGGCAAGAGGATGCAATGCCAGTTGTAGCCGTTGAGCAGTGCCGCATGCAGAGCATGTACGTACATACAGACACACACACGTATCGATGTATGTACATACACATATATAGTTGTTTACTCACACATATTTCATATATGTGTGGATATATATACAGTGGTAACTTCTAAGGCGAAGAAGGGAAGAAGAAACGGGGATGTTCCAGGTTCCTTTTCACTCACTCAGGGCCAAGTCCCACTGGCAGCGCTGAGTTTCCTCCACGACCCAAACTGGTCGTGTTTGTGGACGTGCAGTGGAGGAAACTCAACGCCATTTTCTGCACATCTCCACAAACACGTCCACATTAGGGCGTTCAGGAAACTCAACGCTGCTAATGGGACTTGGCCCTCACTCACTCTCTCAGATGCGGAGGGAAAAAGAAAATGCTGTGAAGTGGAAAATTATGGGCACGACGTAAAATTGGCCTAGCTCAGGTAAGTACACCCCTGAACTGTCGGAGCACAGACCTGCGTTCAAACTCCGCCGGATGCAGATGAGTAAAAGCACCCCTAGCATCAGCCCGGGCTGTTCATAAAAAAAAAAAAAAAAAAAAAAAAAAACTTGTAAAATACTACAATTCGGGATATCCGTACAGATTGCAGTTTCTCTGACAGGGCTGAGAGTATGATGAGAGTGGTAACGAGAGCGTTGATGGACTCAGAACGCTACTGTTATAGAGAGAGTAGGGCAAACCTGAATGAGCCCCACCAGACATCTTCCAAAAAACGCAGAGGTATTGAAGAAATGGGGATGGAAAAGAGAGAGAGAGAGAGAGAGAGAGAGAGAGAGAGAGAGAGAGAGAGAGAGAAGGAAATAGACTCGAAGTAGCACGAATACGGAGATTCGATTAAAAACATGATAAGCACAGAAGCTCAACGGTTGATGGATCCGACTATGGGCCTCGCCACACCAATGTCGAAACTGGAGTTTTCGACATTTTTCCTTTGCCACATGGACAGTCGAAGAAAAAATATCGAAAACACTTCGAGACTTCGGCATTTGTCAGAGAACTGGTCATTTGTCAGAGAAGTGGTTTCGACATGGGTGTGAAACGGCCTGCCTGCAGCGTGTAGAGTTTCAACATCTCCGAAGGGAG